GCTGCTGTTCTGCAGTTATTTTAGAGAGCGGCACGTTAAACTCCATGCGAAACTTTCTGAAGTTCGTGAAGTGTTTGATTATTGCAGCATGAGCAGTCTGAAGTCCCTGATTTGGGAAAGTTTGTATAATCTCATCCTGGCCCCAGCCCTTTGCCCGGAATGCGACTTTTTACAGACTTTGTCTTTTCAAGTAAGTTACTTTTTTGTTCATATAGGTAAATGTTGCAGGTAGGAGCTTAGTTCAGAAGGCTTTCAGCGGATCCACCTTGTGAAATAGTTAAGCCCATATCTGTCTGTCAGGGAAATGTCTGTTAGCAACAAGTTATTCTTACATATTTTCCAGAATACTGTGAAATAAGGGATGCCTGCTAGTGTTAAAAGCAGAATATGTATCTAGCTGAGTTCTGGGGATGCCACCGTCTTTGTTTTCATGAAGGTAACAAGTTAATAGACTAAATTCCAGCAGGTGGTGCTCAAGAATACGTGGTACAGCTCCTGATCTTTGTAGGACAAGCCAAGCATGTGTGTTGAACGTAGCAAGCCACTCTTCCTGTTTCTTGTTATGCAGCATTTTAACATAATGTTCTGCTGCAGTGGAGACAACCATTCTGGTGTCTGCTCTCTGTGGTTTTTTTTCTTCTGCACCTTTGCATCTAGCAAGAGGCAGCTCCATTTTAATTCATGCTGTCAACGTTAAACTGTAACACTAGCTTGGCTCAGCCATCCCCGCAATGAGCTGGGGAGGACCTCTGTGCGGGAGGTTGACCTTTTCCCTGTTGCTGGAACTGCCCTCGTTGCTCAGCAAGAAATAAACAATTGCTGGCACATGCAGCCCTCAAAGTCAGCATACGTTCCTGCAGTAGCTCTAGCTTTTCCAATAAAGAAGTGATTAGTTGCATGCTGTTGCACGGTAAAGATCTGAAGAGCAGAGAGCTAGAATTTAACAGGCTATTCTGGATTAGGGTTGGAAATTAAATTTTTTTGATGCAATGAAGATAGTATTTGCTGATGGGAAGACAGGTTCCCAAGAGTACAGAATGTTTCCTGGCCGCCAGTAGCAGAGCAGGGATGAAATTTGGTCATCAAGAAGGCGAACTTCATCTTGCCCTTTTTGGATCCAGGTGCGCCTGCTTTAAGATGTTCCTAACATGAAAGGTCTTGCTAGAGCCGAAAAAGGCAGTTGTTCCAGGCCGTGTGATTTTGTGCATTAGAGTCCATTTTTCTTAGATGTCAACTACATCAGTATTATCGTTCTTGTCCAAGGGAAGTGGTGTATGAGCAAGGGCTACAGAATGAGGCCATTATGGGATAGAAAAACATGTGAAGATGTTACTTTAAGAAGCTGAAAGTTTCCTAGGCTCTTCTGAACTTTCTGTTCATAGCACTGATCAGGAGCTCTTGAGCACTGATAGCAAAAAACAGTGCTTACAGATTTTTGTCACATTTGCTTGCCTAATAACACTGGAAAAGTAGTTTTTCACATGTGGACTTCAATTCCTTCAGCTCTAAAAGGGGGTTGAAACTTAGGTCTTTGGGTTTCTGCAAGACTTAATTCATTAGAGTGATTTGAGAATGAAGGATGCCCTGTCAGTGTTACTTACTCCCTATGCTGCTTCTTCTGGGTACTTATTAAATTCAGTGGTTTTGCTTTCAAAGTCAGCATAGCAAGATTTTGGAACGACACTAGCCATGTGGTTCTGGCTGGTCAGTAACTAGGAGGGTCAAATTCCAAGTTAACATGTGTTATTTTTCACTTGCATAAATTGTTGCAGGTGCTGCTGCTTTTAGTGAAGTCCCAGTGAAACTGGATTCCCACCCCGGTATTTTTCTTGTACATGCTGTTAATGATGAATGTTGTGTGAGTATTTTCAGCAACTGAAGGCATCTTTTACACCTGCATCCAGGGGGAATGAACTCCTCGCGCGTGTTGACATGCCTGTTCTCTGATATGGGTCTTTACCAGGCAGCTTTGCATTTAAGCTCATGAGTGATCGTTTCTTCTTGCTCCGGAGTCAGCACAGGTAGAATAGAGCAGATGGCTCAGTGTTGGCCAAGTGCTTGCTGATACACAGCAAATTGCTTCTGTAAACGACTGATTGGTTTCAAGCTTTAATTGAGGCTTTCAGCAAGGCGCTCAACAGTGAAAAGCGTTCTGCTGAGAAAAACAGCAGCGTAACCGTGGGCAAAGGTTCAGGATAGCAGAGTTCAGCCCTCTTGGGGATGGCTCCTCTTATTTATTTATTTATTTTCTGCTGCTTTCCCACCATCATTCAAGACTTCCGTAAAGTCACTTGCAGATTACAGCTCAGTATATCAGTGCGCCGCAATCCTTTGTGCTGAAAACGTCAAGCAGGGACTGATAAGCTTGGATTTTCTGCTGGCGGTGGGCTCAGCAAAGATAGCTGCTCCCTGATGCTCCCTTTGAGTCCCTGTCTGCTTGGTCTGAGCAGCAGCTTTTGTAGGACTCCCTTGCATAGCAGGGAGTACAGCTCCTGCTGTCATTTCTCTTATGTACGTCAGCATGTTAAGAATTTTAATTTTTAATGGACATCTTTAAAAGGGAAAGGAAACATCACTTGCCCCCCCCGCCCCAAGCAAGAGTGGATTTGACAGCGGACGATAGATATTTGTGGTAGGGTTGTCTGAGCAGTGTCCTGTTGGGCAACAGGGTTTCCTTCAACAGCTGACCCTCAGGAAGGAGCTGCTCTCTGAAATCACGTTGTAACTCGCCCAAGAAAGGAGCACCCCAGAGCAGGCAGGGATGCAATAACCGAGGGGTCTAGCTCTTGTGCTGCCCCCGCCCCCACTTTTTATCTAGCTTTGAATTCTGCTTTGAATTTGCTTTCTCTATAGTACAGGACCAAGGGATAAATTTCAGCATGGAAAATGTATCTGTTGAGCTAGCTTTGTTTAGCGTCCTCAATTAGTGAGAAAGGAGTTGCTTCAAGTTACAAAGGGGCTGGTTGGCTTTGAAGTTCAGATTTTATTTAGTGCTGGAGTGGGTCTAACAAAAAGACACTAAAAAAAGGCACTACATGAATAAGAGAAATTAAATTCTATGATTAAAGTTTCCTAAAGAATCCAAGATGGTAAAAGTAGTGCTGGTAGCTTAAAAATGCCAGTGGACCCTCTGCCCCAAGAAGCTCAGAAGTACAAAGATTTTTGTTCAGTTCTGAGATCCCAAACACGTTTGATAGTGTCTACAGCGTGTGTTTTTATGTTCCTGTAGCTCTTCAGTGACTTAAAATGCATTGAAAGTGTGAACTACTGCTAGTGTGCTTTTGTACTTGCATGAATTTAATTAAAAAGATAATTGGATTGCTTTATCAGCCTTTACATGTCAGCCCAGTGCCACCCTCTTCTCCCCCCTCTAACAACATTGACAAACCCAAGGCATCTGAAATCTCTATTTTTCTGTATTGTTCTCTTTGCTCGTGTTTTGGATAGGGTACAGACGTGACTGTGTTTTCTGTTGAGCATTAGATCTGCTGCCATGGTGGGAAGGAAGTGGCTGATAAGCAGAGAGCCAGTCTGTTCAGATGGTTCCTGTAGGGGCTGCCCGGCGCAAGCGGAGGGGGAAGTGCTGGGTAGCAGCAAGGCTCCAAAACAAAGCAGACTGACCCTTTGCAAAGTCCTCTGCCTTTATTATGCTGACGATGTATAGCCCAAAATGTGTAGCTGAATCTGCAAGCTGCATGACACGGGCAGTTTTTGTGATTTCCCTGGAAATGCTGCCAGGGAATGCAAGATCCATTTTTAGTGCGAAACAGTGATGTTTTCATGTACATAGAGAAGTGCCCAGCCTGCGTTGTTTAGTAGAACTGAGTACGTATCCAGACTTCCTGACATCCCTTTGACCAGAGGACCGCGTTCATGCACAGAGAGGAGTGGAAGGGCATGTGAACTAAAGAAAACGCTGCGGTCCAGGCGGTTGCTCTCCATTAGCCAGCAGAGCTCCTTCTCTGCCAGCTCTGTGGCCATACGCTGCCTCCAGCGCTGCCTCCAGTGCTGCCCGCTTTGGCAAGCCTCTCCTGGTTCTCGTGTGTGCTTCGTGTTGTTTTCGGGAGTGGCGTTTTAATGCTCGTCATCGTTTCCTTGAACTTCTGGAGTTTCATCAAGCCACCTCTGGGAATTTGGGAGGGTGGGTGTCCTCTAAAGAATACTATTTATAATACAAGGCAGCCTCTGCTCCAGTCATTTGTGGCAACATGGCTGCTGAGGAGGTAAGAATTGTCTTTCGCTTGTCCAGCTGGTCTGTGGACGGGGCAGCTGGTGAAATAGCTTGGGCACAGCCAGAAGTAATACAGGGTAATACAGGGGCACGCAGAGGACTGGGGCAGATGGGATTAGGCAGTCAGGAATGCTTTTCTTGAGAGTGGAAATGCTGTTGCATGGAAGACTTGGAGACTTTACAAGTTAGTTTCTGTTAGAGCTGGAGGGTGACAGCACAACTTTTCAGGATCCTTCAAGACAGCAAAAAAAAAAAAGCCTGTGGGTCTCCTGGAATTTTTCACTTTGATGAAATTGATTTTGGTTCGTTCTGAATGTGAATTCACCAATTAGCAATGTAGAATAAAGTATCTGTAGAATGACATTTTGGTGGCCTCCCTCTCTCCCCCTTTCTTAATGACTAACTCCCTTTAAAAGGACCTAGAGATTTGGAAACAGTGCAGTACAGGTATCTGTTATCAACCTGAGGAATAAGGTATTTGCAAGAGGAGATGATGGCAAGAAAGGTGCTCTGGAGTTTAAAAACTTATTTTAAAGTAAAAAAGGGAGTCACAGTTTTTCGTTGCTTCCACACAAGAAAATGGTTTAGGCATACAAGGTTTTCTTTTCCATTTAAGTGTTTTAAATACAGCTTTTCAGAAACAGAAAAGGCAAAACTCAAAATACAAAGCAGCCCACTTGACAGTTGCATGTAGGAAGCCCATATCCAGTCAATTTTTTCAAGGGGTTTATGGTGGTGTCAGTGTGACCCTTTTATTTTTTTCTTGCAGAAAAAGATTTACAAGTACAAGAAGGTGCTCAGTAACCCCAGCCGCTGGGAGGTGGTGCTGAAGGAGATCAGGACACTGGTTGACATGGCGCTGACGTCTCCGCTTCAGGATGACTCTATCCACCAAGCACCACTGGAGATTGTCTCAAAACTGCTCTCGGAGGTATGAGCTCAGCAGTGCTCCTGCAAGACGCTGTCACATTTAGACGAGGGACAAGCAGTTAAAAATTTGTGGGTGGGTTTTGTTTTAACTTGGGCTGTCAGAATTCTGCCTTTGAGTCTGCTCGTGACTTCTGCTGACTTGAGTGGAATTTGTGCTTGCTGGGGAGAAGGAGAATTTGACCTGTGTTAGGTAGATTTCCAGAAACAAAACAAAACAAAACACATTTCTCTTGACACTTTTTTTTGCCTATGTGGTAAATTTATTATAGGTCTGATTCATGTCTTGTTTCAAGTCAGTGGTAAAACCCCTCTTGACTTTGTTTCTATGACCAATAATTCTTGTAACAGTATGTATATACCAATAAATTCATTGTGCAGCTGTTTTATTATTACCAGTTCTGTCAAAGAAAAATATTTTTCTTCTTCAGAGGTATTTATCCTCCTTTTATAGCATCTATTTCAAGTAGTTAGCTTTTCATGGACAGGAAATGTAATGCCAAGCAGGTTTTTCATGTCTTAGTTCTGATGTGCAAAGTTCTGCGATAAGCAAAAAAGTTGTTAGCTGTTTTACTTGCAATAGGCAAAGAGCTCAGCAACTCGCAACTTTTTAACCTCTGAATGGATCATGCTGCTGAGAAAGACAAAAGCAAACTTCTACATAGGTGGTAGCATAGGTGACTTCCAGTAGATTTACTGGCTTTTACTGGTTCCATGTTTGAAGAAGGAATTTCAGGAAAACTGCAGCAGTTAGTTTACTACCAACAAATGGTATACAAGACCATAACAATCCTTTTACTAATTTTTGTAGAAGCGTGCAGCCTGTCTTAAGAAAACGTTTTTAAGAAATGCATTGCTACCTTTAGTTTTCCAACTGATTGAGACTTTCTCTGGCATCTTGGTGTTTGTATGCTCAGATTTCATGGCTGGAGTGGCTTGAGTCTGAAGGTGCTGAGGGAGAAATGGAAGCTTGCACAACCCCTCAACAGCAGATAGTATACCACCTTCTTTAAGAGAATGATTTTAATTTGATGAATTTTATTCTGGAAATAAGCAATTGCAGTCTTGAGCCTTTCAGTTGTGTCTGGTGGTAGCTAAGAGGACTGTGTATGCTGATGTGCCAACTCAGAGTACTCTTTGCTTATTCATTTCTTCTATTCAACTCTTTCAGAACAACAACTTAACCACTCAAGACCACGAGAGCATTATTGTGGTGAGTATCTTTCTGTCAAAATCTGAAGACAAATCTGTTCTGTTTGATAACACTTTTGTTAATGCATGCCTCTGCCCCAGTGAAGTAAGGCAAGTATAAAAGCATTTCCACCAATGCTGGTGAACTTAGGCAGAATCAAACCCATTTGTTCTACTGGTTTTTGTGTGGTTTTGTCATTCCTATCTTCTTGTTTCACAGATGAGTAACAATAAAGTTTCCTCATCAACTTTTATGAAACAGCACAGCATGTTGAGGGTTATTCATGTCCCAAAATGGCCTCCTTACTAGGCTACACAGTGCAATGTTCATATCTATATATGTGCTTTAAATAGTCAAAAAACATCGTTTCCAGATGTGCCCAATAAACCCTTCAGCTTAGTAGTTTCCTGAGGTCTAATGCTGCCATATACAGAATGTCCTCATTGCTGATGGTATGTGAGCAAGTGATTGTTTTTGTAAGTGTGGATATGTGTATGTGTCACTGCTGTTTAACCCCCTGCTTACTTGATTTGTAAAAATATCCTCTTCCACTTTTTTCTGTAGGTTGCATTTTTTTAGACATAGAAATAATTGAATCAAATGGCAGCTCTCTTCCTTGTGCAACAAAATATAAAATCTCAGCAATTTATCAGAGAGGTGAAAGTTGGTTCCCCATCACCGTAATTTAATTTCAGTCACTTTCCAGGAGATTTTCTCAGTAATCTAATCTAGCCCCTCACCACCACCTGGTCGTATCACGTCTCTATGACTCTTTCTGCAAAATGACAGGGTGGCACGTAGCTGCCAGTAGGTGTGAATTGTGTTTTAGCTGCTGCTTAAGATACCATTTTAGCTGGAATTTCAGATAAATTTCTGAAGTGGCATTTACTTTTCTTTGGCATCTGCTGTAGCTTTTTCATTTTGGTCTCGTGCCAAGGGTAATTCAGGCTCCCAGTTAGAACTGGTGGTTTTGGAGGAAGGATTTTTTAATAAAAGATGTAAAGTGACCTCTCTGTGAGCAGGGAAATTGGACCAAGTGGCCTCCAAGGGTCCTTTCAGCCTACATTATTCATCAGTTCTGGGTGATGGCTTCTTCAGTTCAAGTCCTGCCCTTCTGTAGGTTGTGCCCAAACCATTAAGGAGATGGCAGTTTCTGGGCATTCAGAGCTCACTGCCGTTATACAGCAAACCTGGTTATTCTTAGGAAGTATTGCTAATACTGTGTATTTATGTAGTATCTTAAAAGTACACAGTGATTTGCTGTGCAGTTGGAACCAGCTTTCCTTCTCTAGTTGGTGCTGAACAGATCAATTTTACAACTGATCCCTTCCTGGTAAGAAAGGGGAAGCACATGTTGCCGTAACTGGGCAATGCAAGACAGCAAGTTTCTGCTTTTAACCACAGCGCACATGGGAAAACACAGGGTGCTTTTGTGCTGTCACTCTTCCGCGCTGACCGTACAGGCAGAGCCGTGACCCACTTGACAGTGTCTGCTATGGTTGTTCCTTATGTTCAGAGAGGACTGGGCTGAAACAATAAAGCTCATTTTTCATAGGCTGACAACCAGCTGGTTACACCTCTGATGCCGTGATCCTCTGACGGTTACCACACAGGTATAAACACTTGGTGGTTTTGCAGTACATGGCTCCTGTGGGAAACACAAGGTCCTGTAGCAAACACTCCGAAAGATGGATTCAAGGAAGATCTCGGGCTCAGGTGTTGAATGGGTAGCAAGGATAGTCTAGTCTCACTGAATAGTGTCGCATTCTCTATCAGTCCGCTTTGGTGGACCACTGCCAGAGGAAGAGTGAACAGTTGCAGAAGGATGGCACATGATAATGAACAGAAACTTCATGAATGTTATGCGTAATCGAAACAGATCTTTGCAGATGTGCTTGGGTTTCATGGTTAAAATTCACCTTAATCTTGACCTGTTTGTGTGTGAAAGTAGCTATGGAAAAACACACTCACTGCAAAAAGACTTGCCGGGGCTGAAAATCTTCAGGAGACAAGAGGGAGGGCAAAACCCAAAGCAAGCTGCCTTAGTAAAACTCCAGGTGCCACCCAGATAAAATATCTGGTGTTCAGTTGCTTAATACAAAATGTCCTAGCTGTGGTGTTTAGAGTCTTACTTTGAAATGGGTACTGGGAATCCCTTTAGCACAAGACTGGAAAAGCCTGAAGGCACCATCACCTAGAGAGGATACATTATTCTAGTACCATTTTCCCATTTACAAAGGGAGTAACAACAACATAAGTTCATTACACCCTCAGCGGCAGGTGTGACCTCTAATATATTTACTGAGCATAAAAGCACATTGGTTTGTGTAGCTAGAAAGAAGGAATGGTTCTCAAAGGATCTCAACTTTCACAAAGTTAGATGCTTGATTTTGGTGAATAGAGTCCTCCAAGGTAAGAACAGTGCTGTGTTGCTTTTAGTGAGTTATTTCTCACACAAGGAGCACGAACTCTTTCATAAAGGATGTGTGTGTGTGGTGTTTTTTGTGGGGTTTGGTTTTTTGTTTTGTTTGGTTGCTTGGTGGTTTGTGTTTTGTTTTGTTTTTTTTTCTTTTAGGGAGATGTTATAACTGAAACAGTGAGCCAGATTCATCCCTGCTGTATTACATCCTAAAACAATTGGTCTGCTCCTGTTCTCGTTTAAACCATTATAAAAATTGTACTCCTTTGCTGTGTTTTATGTGTTTACACTGATGTAGTTAAAAGCAACATTTTCCAGAGGATTCATAGCAAAGGTGTGCTTGAGCTTACATGTAAAATTAACACACAGTCTACCTCTAGTTTCTCAATTGATGCTCTTGTCCTTTTTTCTTAAAGTGAGCTTTTTTTTTTCCGAGAAGAATATTTCCCTGCAAAATGTTTACTCCAGTTGCAGTCCTCTAATTAAATTTTTCTCTCTCTCTCTTTTTTTCTTTTTTTTTTTAAGGCAATTGCACCTTTGCTGGAAAACAACCATCCTCCTCCTGACCTCTGTGAATTCTTCTGCAAGGTATCAGAACCGCTTTCCTTTCTGAAATCTGGTAGTTGTTTGAGTGTAGTTCTTTGAGGGGGTTATTTTTTTTCTTTAATGCCTTACCTTGTGCCCAAATTGATTTCAGTTTTTGGTCAACAACCAATGATATTGGAATAGTTACCAGCACCATTATGATAAATAGATCCATATCCTTAGTACATCAGACTGCGTAGTCCTGATACTCTGGGAGAGTTAAAATCTTCAGCCTCCCAACACCTCAGCCTGGGTACAAGAGATGTCCTACTGCATGTTCTTTTTAGCTAATGCAAACATCATTGAAGTCACTGTGTTCGGATGAGTTGGTAATGTGATGCACAACTCAGCCCTAATGGTATTATGTCATTGGGTAATGGCAATGAGAACATCATAAGGACACATCCTCTTCTCTGGTAGATCCATGCTTGTGCTGCATTTTGCATCCTTTCCGTAAACTTCTGAGTGCTTTGGATTGCAGAGCTTCTGGATTTAAAAAGTACTACTTTTCCTCTAGGCTTGTTTGTGTTTCAGTTTCAAGTCTGCTTAAATTTGCTTACTGGTGACTGGGTGTATATTTGTCAAACATTCTGGATGCTTATAATTCCTATCCATAGTTATTCATCAGCGGCTTCTTCCTACAGAAATTAAGTCAAGTTTCAGAAAATCCTCTGACTTTTGCATTTTTAATAAGCCAGTCTTAGGGTCATGTTTAGCCTTGGGGTCAAGCTTTTAGTCCTGGATATTTTTGCCTTTGGTGTCCATCAGAGGTGAGCACCTAATTATCTTTAAATGTATGAGATGGGCTGTGTATAGTTGCAGGAAGGGAAATGGGCTATAGACTTCTCATAACTGAAATGGACACGGCTAATGAGAAGACTAATATATCTTCAAAACTGACCCTGCCTTGAGCAGAGGATTGGAGCAGATGACCTCTAAAGGTCCTTCCCAACCTAAATTACTCTGACTGATACATCATGATTGTATGTTTTAGCCTGTGATGGGAGACTGGCTTGTTGGTACCCTCCAACAAGTTTTTAGCCTGGATCCCAAGGAAAGGAGCTTTGTGCCATTACACTGCCTGTGTCTACATATCTTTTTGTCTCCAGCCCCTTTACTTTGAAAACTGTTGGATAATTTCAACCAAATTTGACAAAAAGGGGTAGAAGTCCCAAAAATACTACATTCCAGTGAGTTTTATGAAGAGTAGGCAGTAGAGAAGGGAACTCGTGTAGTTCATGAGCTCCCATGGTAATCTTCTGTTAGATGCCAGTGAATCTATAGGAGAAAGGAGTGCTGCGAGTACCCTAATCGCAGAAAAGATTCATTTAGCCCTTGGATCTTATTAATTTTGGGGTAATCCATGCGTGGGGTGTGAAGCCAGAGGAGACCCGTCGTCATAATTTCTCACAGAATCCCAGTACAAACGACTTGTTGCTTGTTACAGCACTGCCGAGAGCGCCCGCGGTCCATGGTTGTGATAGAAGTGTTCACACCAGTGGTACAGAGGATTCTCAAACACAACATGGTGAGTGCACATGTTATGGGAACTTGGTCGCTTTGGAGAAGTTTTGCTGTGATACCTTTTGTAATTAGCAGCTGCCCGATTGCCTGTAATGGACAAAGCACTGTGATACCTAAATCTAGCCCCCCAGATGGTGAATGCTGCACATAATTCTGTGTTGCTTTATAAATGCAGAACTAATAAGCATTCAATGGGACTTTCAAAAGCGTCTAAGCAAAGCCATGATTTCAGGAATGTGTCTTTTGGCAGCAGTGCCAGCGTATGCAGCTCCAGCTCTCTCCCACCTGGCTCTTGGCTTCTCATTTACTCCCTGCATGCCATCCTTGTAGTTATAATGGTTTAAAATCAATTAAATAACAAATAAATCAGAATAGGGACTTTGATTTTGAGCTGACGTCCTCCTCATTTTTTCTTTAAGATGACACCCCCAGCTCTCTAGATTTCCATTTTTTCTTAGACTCATGTCCAATGGCTTCTTACCTGGGTTTCCTGAATTTCCTTATGCTTTTCTGCCATTCTTCTTCCTTCTCATTCCAGGAAAGGTTTACTGCATCATTTTGATTGTTCTCTCCCAGGCTTTCTCTCTTCTCTTTGCTGATTACTTCCTTGCTAGTGATGGAAATAAATACTAGCAGACTGCCCTGCCAGCTTCGCTCTCTCCTCTGCCCTGAATACAGCCCTCCCCTGCTGCCCCAAACTCTGAAGATATTCTTACATGATCTGTATTCCTTTCCTGAGAGAGGTCTGGGGGTTTACCAGCCCTCCATCTTTTGTGGCATATTAAGTTTCCTGACATGGTTTTTAATTAACAGAAAGAAATTTTACTTCACAATGCTGTGACAAAGAGTAACAAATAAACTAAAATACTTAAGGCAGTTGACTCCTCTGTGATCTCAAAGATGGGTCTCATACCTCTGTAACTACACAATCGACTTCTTTTCGCTAACTGATATAATTTTAGAGACCATCCGCTGTCCTGCTGTGTATAGCATGAACCCAGTAGAAAACAGTTCATATTTCTTATTTTTACAACAGTATTTTTATTTAACTCCTTGAGTTTACAGAACTAGGTAGAAAGCCCAAGATGGCGAAAAGGTCATATTCCTGGCTCTGTGCCTGCACTCCGCAGACATGTAAACATTTTTGAATATTCTGTAGTGTTCAATGAAATATTTGGTAAATGTTATTCTTGGATTCCAGACTGATTTTTTTAAAGCATCCAGAGCTCTTGAGGGGTCTCAAATGAAATCTAAATGCATAGTGTAATGCTTGTATTTGGTTAGCTTCAGAGAATTGGGTATATTTACCATACTTAACATTTGCAGATTGAAAATCAACATGTCTGTACCGCAGTGTGTAGTCAGAGAATTTACGGTGTCATATATTAATTGGAGTGGATTTGGGCACTTTACTGCTCTCCAGGGACTTCTGTACTGAATAGTCTTTCAGAGAATGTGTGTGTGTGTGTGTGCATGCAAATAAAGTTATCCTTTAGGCGGACAGTGTTGTTGGTAGTAAACTTCATAACCTTAGGAGGCCCCATGCAATTCAGTGTGCTTAGAGCAGGAGACCGAGCTGCCTTTTCCCACCTTTGCTGCTAATTTGCTCTGTGATCTTTGCTAAGTTCATGACAAGTTTTGTTCCACAGTTTCCCCACCTATAAAATGGCGAAACTGTGCTTCATTTATCTATCACTTTGAAATCTTAAAAGAATAAGGATAGCTTTTTGTCTTGCTGATACTACTGGTTACGTGCAGGACTGGGGACTATTGTATGCTGACTTGTTCGGGGAGTGCTCAGCAACCTCTCACTACCTTTGGATTTCAGCTGTTTGTAGGCTCAGACCAAATGTTTGTATATAAGCATTATTGTTGAATTTTTGGGGGAGCAAACAATATTGACAGTGTGTATTGTTCTGTACCTCCGATGGTGACGGGGCATCATATTATATTTAGTGAGGTATTTAGTTTTAGAGTGGTATGCAATGACATCCTCTTTATGATCTCTCAGACTTTCATTCTAACTTCAGTTAGGACACCTACACAGGTTGACAAATTTCACAAACAGATTGTAACTGCCAAAGCTGTCTTGCAAGGAGCATTCATGAAATTAAATGGCACCAAATGATACCCAAAGCACATACGGTCTCATGCCCTTGGACCAGGTGTATTTGCACCTGCCAGAAGGAGTTGTTAGAAGTTTAATGACTTTACTTGTAATACCAACTCTGGAGTCGCCCACCGTCCCTATGCTGGGTGAAGTTACGAGGTAGCCATTCAGTACTAGCAAAGAGTGACGCTTAGATGTGAAGGAGACATTGTTCTGCCTAGGCTTGTATTCACATTTTTGGTAGTTTTCTCTAGCTGTAAAGCCTGTGAGATATTAATATAGGTTGTACTATAGAAGTGTCTGAAACCAAAATAAGTAACAGAAGGTTTCAGTGCTTTGGGAGTCTATCTTCCCTTTTACAGACCACCAGTTCGTTACCACTTGTGGCATTTCTTTACAATTTCAGTTGCCATTTATTTTTTCAGGATGACTCTTCTTCCACAGGCAGCTGCTTGAGGGATGACTGGGAGGGTTGGTTTGTCCTCTGTGGGCCTTGTTCACAGTTTGGAAATTTAGCTTTGTAGTTCTGTGACACCTGTGTAATAAGGTTTTATCTGTGTAAATGTGAAGAAATGTGCTGTGAAATAAACTCACCAGACAGCAGGTTTCACTCTTTTCACGTCTAAAAATAGCAGGTGATGTGAGGAGATGCAGGATTTCAGTTAGCAGGTGCCTTTCCGACTGCAGGATTTGAAGAAAGTGACTGCTGAGCTCACCTGTCAAATTCACATTGTAGCTGGAGTAAAATCCCTGGAGAAAGAACTGATCTCTGGTTTTATACCTGATCACTTATTGATTGCACGTCAAAAAAGCTTTTCTCTAAAACCAGAATAGATATGATGTCAAACATGGCAGTAAAAACTTATTTTTGAGTTGCATTTCTAAAACTGTGGCTATGAATGGAAGCAAAAATGCAAAACAACAAAAAATGCATTTAAAAATAATGGTATAAAGTGAAGTGTACTATAGAACTGTAAAGGCATGTAGGATTCTTCCCCCCTGCCCCTCATTAAACACGTCTTTTTTTCAAGGTGGCTATGGGGGAAAGAGGAGAATTGGAAAGCATGTCGTTAGTAGTGGGAAGAAAATTACTTCAACATGCAGTGATACTGTGCTCTTGAAGCTGTCAGCATAAACAACAAAGTGAATTTGGTTGTGTTTGAATTGATCTCTTCTGAAAACCCACAGTTTCAACGTACATTGCAGGCATGTTTCACCATCTTCACCGAGTCTCTCCTTTTTGGACAGGATTTTGGGAAGTGCCCTCGGTTGCGGCTGTTTACTCAGGAGTATATTCTGGCTTTGAATGAGCTGAATGCTGGAATGGAGGTGGTGAAGAAGTTTATTCATAGGTTGGTTACATTTAATTTATGGCGTATTTCCAGTCCCGTGGACATGCTTCTCTGTGTTACTTCTACCAGCCCTGCTCATCTCTTTACTGGCTGTTAAGAGTAGCAAGTCGGTTTTTGGTACTGGCAAACAGCAAATAAATTGGAAGAGTCCATGAGGCAATGTTGCTGAAGTCTCTTTTTTTCTTTATAAAAACCACCCTAATTCTGAAGTATGGCTGGGGCTTTCTGCCTAGTTACATGCTGGAAGCAAATGGACTTTGCTGTGTGTACATTCTTCTTGTACATTTAGACTCAGAGCCTCTACAGAGAGATTCCCGTTAACTTAAGACCACATAATGCTCAGTCACGTGTGAGATTTTGGGGGGACTGTAGAGATACCACATCAAATAAACTGATCATGCCGCTTAGCCTTGTTCATAGATAGTGCCATTGGGTAGGGATTTACAGGGTTAAAGTAAGTCTCTGTTATGGCCCTTCTGAAGACTCCCTAAGGCTGTCTATCCATTCTGGCACCCTGTTCTGTCTGATTGTTTTTGCTCATAGATATGTTCCTCACAATGATGTCATCTCGGTTTTTGTTTTTCAGCATGCATGGTCCAACTGGACAATGCCCCCATCCCAGGGTCCTGCCAAATCTTGTAGCTGTCTGCTTAGCGGCCATTTATTCATGTTATGAGGAATTTATCAACAGGTCAGTATGAAATTGCAAGCTGACTGCGTGTTACTCACTTCCAAACCCATGGCATCTGTAAACAAGATTGGTGTGAGCATGGGTGTGGGTATGTGAGAGTGTGTCTTCATTCTCACTCTGCTCACTGCTGGTGTGACATGTGGGAGTGTTCTGGTCAATCCCATGCGTGTTTTTGTAGATATGTGGTTATATTTATTACACTCTGTATGCTTGAACACCTGAAAGATGCTGAATGTTCTTTCACTTGTATTCACTGTGGCGTGTTTTGGGGCAGTGAGCATGGCGATCTGTTGTCGCCCATCTTTGGCTACCATGCTTGAAAACAGGGGCAGCGCTGGTGATGCAAGGAGCTTGGCAGTTCCCAGTACAGAAGTACTGCAAGCTGCAGTAACTTCCAGGATGAAGCTCAACATCCAGCTGCATGCTGGTCTTGCCCACTGTTGAGGTATTCCTCTAAGGCAGACTGCAGCCATAACCAGGCTTTGTAGGCCAGCAGAAGATGAGAGTGCTCCACAAGAGTCTGGGAGTTAAGCACTACCCAGAGCACTGTCCATTTTGCTCCCGTTCTGGCACACCAAGTGTACGTTACACCTAAAGCAAAGGGGAAGGTGAGATCTTGAAGAAGCCGTTGTGTGTCAATCCCTGTGTATCTACAGCTCTGAACCTGAGCTGGTTTCACAATGCTGTCTCCATTACTGTGGAAAATTTGATTCCTGACTTGTCACAAAATAGATGCCGCATTTCTTGACGCACAAGCCAGTTTCCAGTAGACACTGAGGGTTCCCCTCTGTTGTGTTCCCTGTTTGTTTATGTGTATCTGACTTTCCTCATGGCGGAGCACGGACGGGGGCTGCTTAGCGTCCAACAAAAATTCCAGACGTGAGGGCTGCAGACAAATGTCTGGGCATGTACTGTAGCCAGATACATACTTGGACTTGGATTCTGTTACAGCTTTGCACAACTTGGATGGGAAAGTTCACCTTTGTACTACACTGGCATGTCAATTAGAGTAATGAAAAGCTCAAATCTTTGTCAGATAGGGGCTGTAGAACAGTCCTGTTGGACCCTTTTAATGTTTTTAATTGATTTCAGTAATCTGATTACACAGAAGAAAGCAAATCTGGTGGGCTGGGATGAAATGTGGTGGGAAACTGCAAAAGATCTTGGCTTCTCAGTGTTGCGCTCTCTTTCCTGCTCTCTGTGGGTATGTCTGTCTATTGAAATTATTCGTTTATTTTTAAAATTCAGTCGAGACAATTCGCCAAGCCTGAAGGAAATTCGGAATGGCTGCCAGCAGCAGTGTGACCGAAAGCCTAATCTCCCGCTCCGCCTTCTCCACACAAGTCCTGACCTGGTCTCTCAAGAGGCCACCTTGACTGAATCCCGTCTCAAACCAGTTATTGTCACTTCAAATGAGATCCACGTGGAAGTGGAGCGCAACAACACAGCTAATCAGAAGATGACAGCCAACGTTGGCAACGACAGTGAGCCTAACCTGATTGACTGCTTGATGGTCAGTCCTACCTGCAGCACCATGAGCATTGAGCTGAGTGCCCAGGCAGACAGGATCCTTGGCTGTTACGTTGAAATACTCAAGATGCTGTGAGTAACTATTTTGAACAACTTTTTGAACAATGTCATCTTAATAATGGGGAACTTTTCCCACAGGCGTGTCATCTTCATCATCTGTGGCCAGCAAGCACATAGTTATAAATCTAACTCCGGTTCTGGAAAGTCCAGTCTTTGAAAGAGACATCTGGCACTGCCACTAAGTTCTAAAAATAGCATTAGGAAGATGAAAACGGAAAGCTTATTTGTACAGTGAGCCTCAGACATATTACAGAAGACAGGATGTTGTTGCCAGTGGTTTCTGTTTTGTTCTTGCCCACCAAAAAAAAAAATATTAAAAAATCTCCATTTGTCTCCTCTAGAGCTCTTGGGATTGCCCAAGACAGAGCTAGAAAGGACAGGTCTGTGCTAGGCTCAGTGCCTGTGCAGTGATAGGCAGTGCTGCTCCCCTGGCTTCAGCCGGAGTTGGATGAGGTCAGTGTCTTTCACTTAGGTGTTGTCCCTTCACATGCTTGTTGTTGTTGAAGTTTTGTGACTTGTTAAGATTTACTTACGTTAGAGTGGAGCCTCTATTTGTCAACCGGTTGCTTTGGTACCACAGGCCTGTATTAGTGAACGAATACTCAAATGGGCTTTACAAAATAATGGCTCTGTGGTTTCCTGGGAGGCAAAACTTCAGAATATCTTCAAGAAGAATATAAAATAAACAGTTCTTCAGGAAAAGCTTGTTTTTCTCCTGGATAAATAAATAAAAAGGAGTAACACAAAAGGCAGGCTGCAGCATGGAAGCTTGTAATAGAAGTGCAGTAAAACAACCCAAAATAACTTTGTTGACTTTGACAGCCAGCTCTGCTACTGAGCTGCAGTATGTCTTTGCACAAACTGTTATATTTCTACATTAGTTATTTTTAAACAATGTAAGGCTTAATGAAGTAACAGTTGAGGTTTTTAGAATACAAGACACTATGGGTGAAATTTGGACTCTGCTGTAAACCATGAGCATGTGGCTACACTGAAGTAGTCAAATCCAAATCTGGGTGTATGCTCTTGAGGAATTAAATGAAATCCAACTGCCATGATGGAGGATTTTGTGAAAGTTTTGTCCCACATTTTCATTTTTTTCAAAATACTTAGTACCGATTTTCAACATAATTTTTCCACTCGCTGCAGAGCTGGCTTGCAAATACATACATAAGCATGCATTCAGAACTGGAGACAGGACAGGTGAATCCAAGATACTGTTCCCATTAGATTCTTGAGCAAGAAGTTGCTGAACGCTGATTTTATTTTCCTTCCCCCTGGCCTAGCCTCTTCTGCCTTTAAAAATACTTGCATTAAAAAGCACAGCATCTGACTTTGCTTCATCTGGTGGCTTCTAAGTCTTCGCGCAGCCAGGTGCTGCACTAAACATGTCGTGTATTTATTCCTGTCCCCTTGACTCTACATGTTTTCCATAAACACTATGAACTCTCTCAGTCCTGATGCTGGCTTGATGCTGACTCACTAAGCATTGACGGTTTTGGTTTCATCATGCAGCTGACACACACGTATAAACAAATGTACGAATGGTCATGTTCTTCCTCAACAGTCTCTCCACATTTTACACATTTGATATGCTAAGTCTCAATTCCCATATAATTTCCAACACAAAGAGCTCTTCACTCCAAACTTTAAAATAACGTCTTTTTTTGATTTGTTTTCTGTCTTTTGCAAAATCAAGCTCTTCAGTAGCAACAGTGAAAACGGCTGTAGGTGTGGAGCAGCTTTGTGCCCTTTTTCAGCTTGTACAGTGGTAATTCTGCAGGGTAAAACCCACAGGATGTGTGTAGTGAAGGACCAATGATATTACAAAATTGATGCAAGTCTTCTCAGATTGCCTTGCCAGAGTCCACACCCTGCTTGAGAAATCACAACCTATGAGAATATAGGACTGTTCTAAGGCAGAGCCATGGTTGACGTATATATTGCAGCTTCACTGATCTGAGTTCCCTTCCGTTCCTGTTCATCCCTTGGGTTTTTTTGGACCTGAAAGCATTAATGGAGAAATGAGTTCTGCTCCCGATTCTGCCACTGGCTTACTAGGAGGTTTTAGATAGGTGCTTCTTTTTGTGCCTCGGTTTCCTTATCCGTAAAACGTAGGTAAAGATTTTGAATGTTGTTTTTTTGAACTCTGAAAGCAGTGTTGGAAAATCATTGTAGAAGGGCTAGTAGTTATTGACAAGTAGTTATTGACAAAAATGTGATATAATGCTGTTGTGATGCTGATTCCTGGCATGCTCAAACTCTTCTTGAAGAAAGGCTTTCTGATGCACCAAATACTATGACTGTACTTTGAAAAAAATGAGAATATGAAGAAAGAGAGTTGAAGAACATGCCAGTAGGAAGAAAACATTAATTATAAACCAACTGCTATCCAGGAGCTGAGCTCTCAGCGGGCAGTCACTGAAATAATTTTTATTAGTAACAGTGGTAAGCCAAACATAAATAAGTTGTTTAGCATTGTTCTTTTAGGTGTCTGACTCAATATCATCATCAAAACAAAAGAGTCACCAACAATGATATCTTTTTTACATAATTAACTTAGGGCAGCAGGGAGGTAATTTATTTAGGCAGATTTTAATTATTGAAAGTCTAGCAAATAAGAATTCTTAACAGTATCTTCAGCAGAGGACATTTTATTGTTCACCTAACTCCTATACAATAGTTACTTTTTTGGGGGGTAAAAAAGCAATTTAATATTGATAAAAATGTAACAGCAATCATTTAATAATCACTGTAATACCTCACTTTTTGCACAGAAGGCTAAATATGCAGATTAGAAATTTCATCTGTGTGGCTGTTATAGCACCAAGAACATCTTTGACCCTTTTTGTAATGCAGTTGAGTAACAGAACACAACTGTTGCATACTACAGGAAAACAGAAAATCATGGTTTTAAAGATGTTGGCAGATGACCCAAAGTCTAGGCAGATTTTAAAGGAGACACAGTCTCTAGTAGAACATGGTATTTTTATCCTGCATCAAAAGTGGATCAAACTTCTGTGTCAATATTCTCTAACACATTCTGGACTCTTGATAGTGTTATTGATGCCAGTCAGTGCCTCCTGAATGCTATGAGTCTTAAACTGGTGCGTAGAAAATGCACTAAATTAATTGAAATCTTTCTGTTCATCGTATTGAATTAGAGGCTCTGAGAGCTGCTTAGCTTTGTCCAGCTCCTTCTTACATGTTAATGTTTCCATGCATTAGAGAATTTCATGTACAGCCAAACTTGTGCTTGAACAGCACAACTGTGGTTAGAAGAATTTGCAGTAAAAGGGGCCGTGTGTCCTCTTCCTTGGACTGGATAACTTCAAAGTCTGTGCGTCACCTGAGGGACCCCACTGATTCCCCTGGCAACACCAGGGAGAAAACTTAAACTGTGCCTGTAGTGACGATGGAAGAATCAAGTAGTTGCTCCCTGTATCTTTATTATCCGCTAAAAACAGAGGACTTCGGGCTTGCAGTCTCTTGGTGGTGAGACTGACAGCTTTCCAAATGCAAGTGCCCACTGGAGCTTCCCCTGCCTTCTCTGCATTCCCCAATAGGTCAGTGGCATGCTCCGAATATCCCAAGTGGATTCTCTTATGTCATGTTTATCAGGGTTGCCCTGGGCTGCTAATATGTTTTGGATTGTTTGTGCCGCACATGACATATGGGCAGGTTTTCGTTTTGGTGAAAGGTGATCCCAGGGAAGGAAAATGTATTCTGTTGGCAGGCCAGCAGCGACGATGGCCCCAAGGCAAAGTCTCTGCGGTCGGGGATTATTTAATTATTATGGTTGGCCAACGTTCTGGCCAGTCCCCTAAACAAGGTTGCTGGGTAAGTAAAGCCGTGTGCGGTAGCAGGTGACTGCTCTGGCAGCCTTCACCCGCTTGGCACCCTGACCTCCAGCCTAGCACACGCTTCCCAGGAATCCATGCATCGGGCTGCAGGTTGCCTGCTGTGCTACTCACCTAAAATGGCAAATCTTGGAAAAATCAGAGCCAGCGAGTACCTCAGGGAGTCTTTCTCCCCCTCTGCTTTTATGAGGCCAGTCCTGGGATTTAAGCTGTGTGATGAGTGTGAGCATTCAGCTCAGCACCCTTTGAAGAGCTCCAAAGCGAGTTTGTCACAGGCGCTCTCCTGAGTTCTCCCTGTGGCTCTGTGCTCCCTCCTCCTCCTGGCATGGCCTCTTTGTCTGGCTCATTGCAGTGGTTGTTAACTGGAGCCAGAGCTAATCTATCTCCCTTTCTTTCCCTGCTTCAAACACTTCTGTCTTGTGTTAGAGCTTTGAATGGATCAAAAAAAAAAAAAAAAAAAAAAAGCAACTGTCTGAAATGAAAGAAGAGTGCAGATGAGATGAGCACAGACAGAAGGAAAATGTTTTTGAAAAGGGAATAGGTGGGAGGAAGAGAAACACTGTAGGCTTTTAATAAGTAGTTTAGTTTTATTCTTGTGCCGTGTTTGTTTCATGTTTCTTAGCTCAGATTGAAGGGATTACAGGCTGTGTAGATTTTGTGTTCAGGTCCCACTCGTGACCAAACTACATATTTCATAGGAGGCAGTTTTCTTTCTTCTCCTCCTAGGAAAACAGGCTATGGTTTATTTTCACTGCCCTCTCACAGACCTGCTCTGCAAATGGATGCCATACATAACTCCCAGCTTCAAGAAAAGTCAGAGTGTGATACTGTCCAATTCTGTCTGCAGTGTTTCACTTGGTCTTAGTCTATTACAAAGCAGCTTTTTTCTTCCTCTTGCAATTTCCTTTGAAGATCAGCCATGAGAAATTGATTGGTTCCCATTATTACTAATCACAGCTCTCTGGATTGCTCAAGGAGGAATTTTAGTGGTGTAATACTTAACCTGACGTGTCACGGGAACTAAGTCTCCAAGTGAGTCTCAGCATTTAAGCTTCTGTTAGGGGAAAGATTTGTAGGTGCTGTATCTCATGTGATGTGAAACGCCTTTAACACCTTTGAATTCCTGACTCAGCCTTTTGACTTTTGGGTCTCTCCTGCTCAAAAATCTGCTCTTCAAGTTGTTTGCATGTAGCAACAAAAATGTGTAATTTTTAGAGTAAAATCAGCTACCAGCTTAGTAGGAATTTCCAAAGCATGTGTATACTAACACAAAAAGCCAGACTGCTCATTAGACTTGTCAGTTCTTTGAGGACCCCAGTGCCAGCACTGAGGTCTGTGCATGAGCTCTCCAGGGCCAGCGTTCAGGCTGCACCCAGAGGCCGCTTGCGAGAAGTGGGGCTGTGACGTGGAGGATGAATTGAGGCTTGGGCACAGCAATGACCCCATGAGGACAACGCAGTACTGACTGCTTCTGGGGGTGTAACGGTAACAGGAGGAGCACACAACATCGTGAGCACAGAGGTGGATGTTTGAGTGGAAGTATGGTGCCAGCTCAGAGTCAGACTACTTCTTGTGGTCTGGACGATGTTCTTACACCTAACAAATGTAGTGAAACCCAGGCTGTGTGAACCAGAGACCTCTAGCACTTCTCATGGCTGCAGCTATAAATGTGTTGAGTTGTTTGTCTCCTACAGAGACCTGGTAGGTAAACAAGAGACTTTCAGATGAATCTGAACACAGGTCAGAGTTCTGTGTTGCTGACCCATTCAATTTGTCTGTAGGTCAGAAACAACAAATAGTCTTGTAGAGAGCCTTAATTAATCAAAGCTTTGTTAAAAGAACCCAGAGAGCTCGTCTTAGATGTGCTGTGTCAGAGGTTTCTGTGACTTATTTCAGTTTATATGACAAGCCCCGTCCTCAGGTAATTCACGATGCTCACTTTACACAGACAAAGTGGAAAAACAACCCCTTGCAATGACATCCTGCTTCATGCCTTGCTGTTCTGAGGCACTAAACAAAGTGTCTAGGCAGGTAAGGGTTTTTCTGTCTCTGGGAAGAACCTTGTGAATGGGCGATCACAAAGTGGTCTATCTGTGATGGACTCACACTCGCTTTGGGTTACTGTAACATCCCTTATCTCAGAGTTGCTCCTAATTTAGACAAGAGAACAGAATTTTTGATGAAGGGGAAAATTAGGTTCAGTGGCTTCTACCACAACTGGCATGGGCATGAGGGGTTTTTTTGGATTACTGTAGCTTCATGTGCGCTATGCTTCGTGCCTCGAATGCTAAAGATAACAAGAGGAAAATAAAGAAGTTGCATTTATTAGGGGACATCGCCAAGACTCTCAAATGTTGCTTGTTTGGTGTTTTGAAGAGAACCAGTACTGAGATTTTTGCCTGGCCAGTGCCACCTCAGTTGCTGAACTGCCTGTGTTTGAGCCCCAGCCTTCTTTGTATCTAAGAGCTTTTGTGGTTGTTTTAACTGCAGGTGAGGGAGGAGACGTCTCCTTGAACTCAGCTCAATGTTGTCGTTCTTGTCCTCTTGCTAGAGGGATTTCAGGAAATGACTGGAAAGTATGTGCTGGGATTATCTGGTAATGCACGCATGAAAAGGACAGGACTAACCACTGAAATTGCCCACTAAAATTATGGGCATTTAGTTTTGTGCTAGATTGTGACTGGCGTGGGAAAGAAAAGTGTCTGTATGAACTTGGGACTTTTGCACAGCAGTATGGAAGAGCAGCTACCAACCCATCCCCACAGTGCTTTTGTAGGGCGTTCATCTGTTTTTCAGTATGTTAAGCTACTATCAGATCACAGTTGTTCTTGTGGATTGGTCATGTGCAGGAGATGTAACCTGAACTCATACTACTGTTGGGCAAGTGATAGCTGCCACCTTGGTTGGTTTTTACACCGCGATTGTCCCTTCAATTAAAATTTCTCTCTGTGTCTCTTCTTAAGAATACCCTGCTCATGCACGTGAGTTTTCTTTGTGTCCATAAACATGCCTTTGTGGACTGTCCTACATCATGTGTATTATTAGTTTATGGAAATCTGGTTTACGTGGTTCAAAAAATGGATAGGACTTTTGGAAATGCATCCATCTTAAATTTCTCTGGGCTAGAACCTTCTCTTTGCGAAAAAATGCATTATTTTGGAATGCTTCGTGCCTGTGTTGTCTGTTTCTAATGCTATGAGTAGATGCTGTCCATTTGAGAACATTACACTTCGTTCCTTCAACACTAAACTTCTGTGCCAAGTTTGCAGTAAGCTGCAGCCAATAATCTGGCTTTTAAAACTGAAATCCAAAGGGTAACAGCAGTAAGGGGAGACAGTAGGCTCTTCTACATTGTCTTCTACAGACATCCCAAGGTGTTTTACCCCATATGAGATTTACTACCTTTATTTCTGTGTGTACTCATTGGTATTAATTGGAGTGAGAGTGGCCTAGCAGGCAGTGCCGGGATCTGGGCTTTGGCTGGTGGGTTCCGTGCCCCATTTTGGTGCTGACTTGCCAGATTCTCTTATCTTCTGTGTTCTTCATTCATCTTACAATGATCGTAAGCTTTGTGCAGTGCATTGGTACAGCAGTTAATTAGTGCTAACTAACCACTAAATGTTTGAGATCATTTGAAGGAGGGGGGGCAGCATGCAAATTGCCATTCCTCCGTGAGAAGCCATCCCAGCGCTCGAGCAGCTGGCAGTTTGCAGGTGGATTGAGATGATACGCTGCCAGATTAGTTCACACTGACCAGTGCATGCTGTGCAGCAAAACGTTCTCTTTATCCTCGTTCACATGAGCGTCCCGTTATGGATGGCTCCTCATAGAAGGACAGTTCTGTGCATTGACAGCAGAGATGAAAGCAGAGTCCATCAGCTGGGAGCCATGGTGCTAACAGAACAGAGAGGAGACACTTCTTATTAGGTCCAGTGGCCTGAGCTCTCTGCTCTGATGATCATCATTGGTCCTCTTTCACTCTTAATAATTTTGGCGGTGCTTCCTTCTCTAGTCTCTCGCCTCTTAAGCTAAAGATTTGTTTAAATTGACCGGTGCCTTTGTGCCAAAGTCAAAAATGGACTAGGGGGTCTGTCTTTGTTTTTACAAATTGGTCTTATGACTTATAGCAAAAAAAAAAAAACCCAAACCAATTAAATGCAGAGCAGAGCCGTAAATAGCAATGGCCTGGTAATTGCTGTACCAACTTAGATGAAAGTATTACTTAGTGATTAAATGTCAACAGGTTTCATAAACAGCAAATGTCTTTAAGTTGACATAAAGAAGGCCTCTCTGGAGGTCATTGTAAATACCAGATTTATTGTGCCTCAGTGGAGAATGTGCTGAAAATGGAAAGGGAAATGTCACCGTAGATCTTTAGAGTGTCGCAGTGAAACAGAAGGGTTGTTGGTGCCTGCAGTAAAAACCATATTTAATGCTTGGTAACCTATTAATAATATGTTCATTTTTCAGGTCAGACTATGATGACTGGCGACCAGCTCTGGCCAGCTTGCTTCAACCTATCCCATTTCCCAAGGAGTAAGTTTGCACTGTCCTAGCATTTACTGGGTTATTCTTGATACTGTTGTTTTATGGTGAAATATAATGTCAAGTAAAAACTGATGGTAACAGGAGTTTGGGGCCTCTAGTATTGATTTAGAATCTAGGTTGATTTTGGCTGATGCAGAGGAAGTGTGAAGACTTCCCCATCTTGGTCTTCCTTCCCCATTTCTCTAAGATAATCCTGAAGAGACAAGTGGTTAACTAGAGACGGGAAAGGAAGGAAAGCTGGTGAGGAGGAGAGCAAAGTGAGAGATTTAGTGGAGGAGGATGCTTTACTGGCGTCACAGAGACTCGTATTATTTGTATTTTACATTAAATGAAGAAGCTACCCTACGGATCAGCCAAGCTCCCTCGGAAACCTATTAATGAACCATAGCGTTTATAAAATGCAGACCTCCATGGACAAGCATTACAACCTGTAATTGTACAATTTGCTAGCTTATCACATCCTCTAATGACCTGATGTCTTGAATCAGAGAGGTCTAATCCTTCGTGCCAGGTTACCTGGACTACAGCAAGAGCTTGGAGATAGGCAACAGAGACATCATTTACCTAAGTCAAACACGAGTCCTGGGGGACCTGTAAACTGTACCGTGATGCAAGGCACTTCACAGAATGACCATTAATTGCTTTACTGATGTATGATGTTAATTAGTTGTGACCATACCTTAATTGCATTGCAATTAAAGAATTCACCTGGCTCTTGGAGGTAGCCAAAAGTCTGTTTGTAATTGTGTAGCTGTGTTGTAAGTCTTTTACTTACTGTCTTCTGACCCAAAGCTCCCACTGCTGTTAGTCAGAGCCTTGTCTAAGACGAGACCCAGGAAAAGCTACAAGATCTGTTCCAAGTGATTTCCCCCCCCTCCCTTCATTTTTTTTCCCCCCAGATTAATGAAGGAGACTTTACCTGATCTTTTTTGGAAAGATTATTCTTTTTGTCTTGTGTGCTGCAGTTGCTTAGAAAATCCTTTTATTATCTGGAAAGAACTGAAAAGTGGTTGGTCGGGTATTGGGGGTTTGTTTTCCTCCCTCCCTTCTCCCAAATCCTCATACTCTTCTGTTTTCTGTTTTAAATTTCAGGGCTCTTGCACATGAGAAATTCACGAAGTAAGTTTGTGGAGCTTGTTTGTTTTATTGAAGAGGGTAATTACTTAAAATACTTGTACTAGTCAATAATAGCAATGATGCATTATTCAGCATTGTGTTTCTAATGTTTTTCATCTGTGAGGGGCTGTAAGCATGTTCTGTTAGCAATAAAAATATGTAGTTTTCTTTGTAATTTACTGTGACAGGAGGAGCCCAAGGACTAAAGACGCTGGATGCTGATTTACAAACAAGTTTGTCACTGTACATGTCTGAAAGCTTTTCTAGGCTATTATGAGTAAACACTGTCCTTGGTAATCACTTTTAGACCTCGTGTTTCCTTCCTGTGGAAGCAGTTCAACTTGTTTCTCTCTAAACTGCATGAATATGTATCATTTAAAGTGTAATCCAGGAGAAATGTGACACTTGTGTGAATACTGCAACCAGCAACTGCTTATTCCTGTCCTTTTAACTGTTTTTTTCAGGGAGCTGAAATACGTGATTCAGAGATTTGCAGAAGACCCGAGGCAAGAAGTGAGTTTGTTGCCAGTTTACACAGAGTATTAATTGGAGGGATTGCAAGTGTACTTGTTCAGAAGATCTCACCTTAAGTAATTTGTTTCAGAACATGGTGTGGTTTTGCTGTGCTTAAGTCTCTTAGGGAGTAATAGCCTCTCAGAGCATGCAGTCTTAGTGTGAACGGTTTCTTGCCTTGTGTATGAACATGTGTTGGGACCTCCTTGACTGACGTCAGTTGATGCCCTTGCTCCTCAGTAAACTGCAACCAGCAAGGCTTTCCCACTCTGTGGAATCTCTGAGAGCTTTTCCATCTTCTGTACAAAAAAAAGGAAGCAAAATCCATGGATCCATACGGCTTACAAAGTAACGGGTTTTATTTATCTGTGTTTCAGTTTCATTGTGTGCAAATGACCATAATTCTCATCAATTAGCAGGAGAAAGGGGGTGGGAGGTGTCTTACTGGAATGAGTGCATAGCTGCAGCCTCACGGTGGCTGACTGCTTCATAACTGTACATGTAGTTTGTGCAACATCATCAGCTCTGGCTGAGTCAGAGGGAACGTCTCATCTGCATTAATTTTTGGTGTTGGCATAAGGGAAAGAAAGCTCCCTGTGAGTGAGGAGGCTGTGTCATCATCAGCATTGCCCAGAACTCCTGGTTTTCATGCTTTTCACTTTTGTGAGCAGTAGTCATCCTTGTCGGATAAGAGACCTTCTTGTCTTAGAATGGCACCGGGATTTTGTCTGCCCCTAGTGTTACATGCCCCAAAGCAAGAGCGTGGACTTTACCTCCTCCCTTCCTCCCCTCAAAAACTGAAATAGAACATCTGTCTTTTGTTTCTTCAAGGCAGGAGAGGGCGGGGGGTGTGTAGGTTTAATTGTGACCGCTCTGTTAAACTGTGGCACTAGATGCAGTGATCTCTACAGTGGGCCAAATTTAGACTAATGGTTGCTCACTGGTGCCACTTCTGCTCTGCAACTTCTGTCTTGCATATCCCTGTTGAATTTTCCTTGTGGACTTCCTTCACCCTGACTCTGGTCAAACTTTCTTACAGCAGGAGTAATAAGAATTTTTAATGAGTGGAATGAGCAAGCCATCAGCCACTGCGTTGGTGTGCAGATCACATTAGAAGTATAGACACACATGCTGGGAGGATGGGGGGAAATGGCAGAAGCTCAGAAATTTGAGGGGGTTTTTTGTTTGGTTTTGGTGGTGGTTTCTTTTTTTTGCAAGTGAAGGGAGCTGTTCTAGATCAGAGCCATTTTGTGTTTGATATGTGTAAAGGGAATGAAAAAGGCCATGAAATTAGCAATGGTATAGCTTCCGTCCTTGTTTATACTGAAGAAATGGATTCTGTGAGTGGAGACTTGCCTGCAGCTCTGTAGATTGGGAGATTAACCATGAAATTTCCAGCAGTCCCTGGTTTTGCGGTTACTTCTTTTGGCCGAGTGTGGGAAATGCTGGTGATTATTGGCAGGAGCTGTAACCTTCCCAATGTCTTCACTTTTTGGCAGGTCCACTCATGTTTGCTGAGTGTGCGGGCTGGCAAAGATGGCTGGTTCCAGCTCTACAGCCCTGGAGGAGTGGCATGTGATGATGATGGAGAGCTGTTTGCCAGTATGGTACGTGTCTGCAATAATGTGAGTTTAGTAATGTCTTTGCAGTAAGTAGCTAATGCATAGTTGGCAGTAACAAGATTTACTTGCTTTTGTCAAGTAATTATCAAAGTCACGGTTCTGTAAACCACAAGCATTCACCAGGAGATCTAAATCTTTATATCACCAAATCCATTGAACTCCCTTGCAGTCGCAGTTTGGTTAACATGTTAGCTTTCTGGTTTTGAACTCCGGTGTGTTTTTTCACTGGTAGCGTAATGCACAAAACCATGCAGGTATATGTGTGTACCTGGGTAGGTATGTATTTTTGTATTTACAAATATGTGTGTTTGTGTGTCTGTATAAAAAAACTCTCAGAGAATATGGAATACTGGGAGACAGACTGTTCTGCATATCCACACCTATAGCTGTCATTTATAGGCTACTCTGGAATTTAAAGACAACAGTAACGTTGAATTAATCAAAGGATGGATAGACAGATAGATAGATGTAAAATGTGTTAGCAGTTTCTCTGCACAATTACATTGTTGTGGGGATCTATAGTTAGAAACCAGCATTCCATTTCCTGCAGTTATTCTTTTGTAACTCTCGGAAGGACTAGGCAGAAAATAGCAGGTTTTAATCACTGATGCTGGCACTGTCTTCCCGTGCAACCTGGCTCAAGTCACGTGGGTCTCGCTGTGTATTAATTCTTCATATAGCAAGGAAGATGGAAGTGGTATTAGTTCCTTTCCCTAGTAAGGGGAAGAACATGTGTAGAAGCTCACTGTTGGGTATACAGTGAAGTGACTTTCAGGGGAATCTACACTTTGTATATCTCCCACATGCTGAACACTTTGGGACATAAAGAACATGCATGTCTGTCTATGCTCCTAACTGAAATTCAGATGGATTGGAATCCTTTGAAACAGATAATGGACAAAGACTATTCACAAAAGGTTTCATCCCTCTTCTCCGATTCTATGTCTTTTATGTTTGAAAAGAAAATTTCTTCAGAGCTACATCATTTCTCCTGAGAGCTTTTGTGGTCCAAGATATATTTATGAGCATCAGGAGATGGATGGTGTGCATGAGAAAGCACAATGCTAACACACATTAATAGGCAGTACTCTATGCCCTTTGCGAGGATGTTGATAAATACTTAAAGAGCTGCTAACGACTAACCATAAAGTTTGGAAAACATCCTGTTCCGAGATGGACCTTACATTAGTGGTAGCATCAGTATTTTCAGTTGCTCACGAAAACCTCCAAAGAAGCTTAATGATAACTGCATGAAATTAAATCCTTTATGGCTGGAAGCTTACTGTTTTTAAAGGTTACCTGAGCTGGTGGATACTTAAGAAAAAAAAGATTTCGTATTTTTCTAAAGGCCTTGTTGGTAATGAAGCCACGAGGAAGAAGAATTGCATGGTAGCACATGATCCGCGTAGAATTGACCCCAACATGGCATGGTTGCAATGTTTTCAGCAGTATTGAACCTAGTCCAGGCAATACCATGAACCAGGGGGACCACAGAACTTATTTACAAGCTTGTTGTAGAGTAGTGCTGATGTTGAGTCTGCATAATGAAGCTCTTACTGCCCATTGGAAACTACAAATTCTCACACAGAGCTCTGCCAGCAAGCTGGTAAATCAGCCATCTGGGCCATAAAATCAGACTTTCAGCTAGGAACCTGAAATTCTCTGCAGCTAGTATCTAGGGTTTTTAAATGGGAAAGAATATTGCCAGCCTCTTTTGTGAGAAGAGACTCTTAACATTGGATTTGTACAAGTGGCTTTGCATTTCTGCCATAGGTGTTACTATGTGATATCATCCTATGCTTTCTGGAGCTAGGAGGGAGTCTGCAGGACACTTGTCAGCTAGTGGCTCAAAGAGGTCTTGCTCAGGCGATGTTCTCAGCATTTCTCTCCTTTCAGGGAAAACTGAGCAAAAGGGAAATCAAGACGATGACCCAAGAGCATAAAAGCACATGAAGTCATCTCGTGACTTAGGACTGCAGGATTTTCTTAAGTCACTCCTTCCTTTCCCAGTCAGCTCCTGTCTGTTTATTCTGAATAGGTGATTTTGCCCATCACCACCCCTTAACCAAGGCTAGAGTTCAGCCAGCAGATTGCCAGCACCAGTGCCTTTTACCTAGACACCCAGCCCACACAACCCTTCCTCACCAGCTGGCGTTGCCAGAGAAACTGATCTGCAAACAGATGCAAAAGCAAAATCTCCTGTGGTTCCCCTGGGGCTGGGTTCATTGTGTTACTAGGGATGGGGGCAATTGCACAGCTGCTCTGGTGTTTCCTGGGGAGCCTATATCAGGCCTCTGGGCTGTCAGCTGAGCTCCTTTACGGAGGAAAACTACCCACTCCCTCAGATCTCACTAGGCATCACCTTTTTCAAAAAGTCACTTCCAATCAGCAATAAAGCTGTTGAGAGACTGCAACTGTAATTGTAATGAGGGCCTCCTTTTCTTTAGGTTTGTGGCAAGTACTTATATTTGTTTGACTGTGTTACAATGTCCCTTCCAGAGGGATTTGTGGTTTTTAGGCTTACACCTCTAATTTTAGCTCTGTCTCTCAACTAGGTTCATATTTTAATGGGATCCTGCTACAAAACAAAGAAGTTCCTGCTTTCGCTGGCTGAAAATAAATTGGGACCTTGCATGCTACTGGCTTTGAGGGGTAACCAGACAATGGTAGAGGTAAGCCCTAAACATACAGTCATACAAGTTTACGAGCAGTATTCAGATTCAGTTTCACACTGCCTTTCCCAGAATTAGATCTAGTGGAACTAGAGAAGCTGAGCTCAGGTTTGTGTCATACCAAACACCAGGAGTGGGCAGTTGTGTTTCTCTTGCTTAAGTGGAACCGAATATTGTTGTTCTGCAGATGTGAGTGTGAATTACATGAAAGGTGGGGGCAAGAATTTTTGGAGAGAAAGAGATTGTTTGCTGTAATTAGTTGGAGAGGCTAAGATGGGAAATAAATGATGGTATAGGCTATGGGTAGGGGTCAGAATTCACAACCACAAGGCTTTTCCGTGACTAAATGCGTGATGCTTGTCTTGCCGCCTGCAAAATGAGCAGTGTGCAAGAAGCATTTACAAAACCTTATTTACTTGCATTAATACACTCTTTTTTTGTGGTTATGATTGGTTATTTTTTGTTGCACTCATAGGTCACACATACTTTTCTGGGTTTCTTTAGAGAAGTTTCTTGATGAATGTCATCATATATTTTAAATGGAAATAGAGGGTGGTTAAATAGGTGGAAGGAGATACAATTTTTCATTGACTTTGATTTGTACATGCTAATTTCATCCAGTAAATAAGAGTGTGCTGCATGAATTTGAATATAATGTTGCTTAATTAAAAATAATTAAAATTATGGAGGGAATAAAACCTTTGCATTTTAATTGCAATGGCATGACGTGTAGCTGGAACGGAAAGGCAGTGTGGAGGGGGCAGCTTGTTTCCTAAGCCCATGTGACCTACTGGAATCATCCCCTGGTGTCTAACTTGCTCCTGGCAACCCCTTGCCCAGGGACGAGTCAGGTGTGTTCCCAATGAGATGGAAGGTGTCCTGGCCACAGCAGCGAGCTCCCAGCATCGTCTTCTCTTGGAGCCTCTCTGGCCTTTCCCTATCCTGCCTCATAGACTGGATACATTGCACATGCATTCTGCTTGCACAGAAACCCCAGCACTTAGGGACAGAAAATCCAGCACTTAGGGAGCCACTTGGCTCTACTGCCCATGTGTAATGTCCCAAGTCTGCCAGTCTGCAGGCTGGCCGGTGTACCTGGGAAATACTGGATCGATTGTACCTGCTCTGGAGAGGGCTGTGGCATAAAGCCATCTTCCAGAACTGACGCAAAGTAGCTGAATCTCTCAGTCAGAAGGAATGAGTGCTAATGGAAGTCAGGATAGATAGGCTGACTTTCAGAGATAAGAGTTCGTTATTTACAAATTAGAAATTGGTTTCTTGTGTTGGAAGGTCAGTAAATGTTGCTACAATGCTCTAATCTAGCCTGCATAATGCATACTCAAAACTTACCCAGTAATTTAAACTAGCATGGCCAGTGTAATTAGGATATTTGGAAGAAATTGAATGTAAGCACTGCAGTGACCACTCTTTCATTCTGCTGCTAGATTTTGTGCTTGATGCTGGAATACAACATCATCGATAACAACGACACCCAGCTCCAGATCATCTCTACCCTGGAAAGCACAGACGTGGGAAAGAGAATGTATGAACAGCTGTGTGACAGGCAGAGGGAGTTAAAAGAGCTGGTATGTCGCCCTGCATGCAGTATTGCCATAGCACATTGTGGTCTGTACTCTCCAGAAATGGAGGTACAAAAGAAAGACAAGCAGGGTGTGAAATTCCCGGTTAACAACAGGATGGGAACAGTATTTGGAGGATTTTACTGTGAATATATATATATATACTGTGTGATATTTACTGATGTGTCTAATCCCGTGCTATGTTTATGAATGATACTCAGTAACCTGCTTAGAATCTGTGTGAAAGAAGAAAGGTGAAATCCTGCTGGTTTAAGATCTTACAAGTCAGCTTGTCAAATTCTGCCACCTTTTGACATATGAGTAGCAAATGGTTCCAGTGCTGGCCAGCATTTCTTAGTGCTTTGACATTCACAACATTTCACTCAGATGGTCTTTAGGTCTAGTTCTCAGAGCTCGAGGCTATGAGAAAAAGAGTTTTTCCTGATTTTAAAGATGGGATCTACAGATTGAAGATAGATCTGCCCTCATTAGCACTTTTTCACCTATGCAGACATACTCATAATCTTCCTCTTCCTTTCTTCACATTTATGTGTGTCGTCCTTAACCCCTGCTCCCAGCCTGGAAGGTATATGCTTTTTTGGGAGTCAAATTGTTTTATCAGCTGCGCAGTCTCAACCCTTTTGCTATCTTAGTCCAGCATTTTAAGGCTGTTTCCTTTAAAGTGAAAGTGACCAAATAATGGCAGGCTGATTGAGACCTGATGCTGACCCCGTGGCACGAAGACCACTAGCTGGGGGTAGTGGATGTCCCCTGTGTAGCATCAGACCTGCATCTAGCACACACAGAAAAAAATCTGTTAGTGCAGAAAAAGCAGGGAAGAGGTGGAAGGGCTGGCAGGGAGCTTTGAAATCGGAGCAGGGCTTGCTCTAGTGAAGAGCTTGCTGTACTTCAGTTGGTCTGAAATTGTTTGACCAAGATGTCTTCTCTCTTACAGCAAAGAAAAGGTGGTCCCACAAGGTTAACACTGCCATCCAAGTCCACAGTAAGTTAATCATGTCAATAGAAAAACAAGCTTTGTCTTTCCATATTTAAACACTTGATTTATGTGTGCCATGTGGCACAGTGGTTTTGGTCAGTCTAGAAGGGAGCCATTCCACTTGCTCTGTCAACACAACTGGAGTTTACACAAGTAAGGCCACATTTCTGCTCTTGGGTCTGTGCAGCAGTTTCCAACGCCAGTACAAGCACCAGGCTGTCAGATTTATACTGGTGCGCAGATTTGGAATTTACAGTAGGATCTAATGGTAGATTTGGAGACAGAATTTTGCATTAAAAAAGCAGGCTTCACAATGTCCAGTTCTGGAACTTAGACATGACAATCTGAAAGAGACCCATCACTGTTGCAGTTAAGCCTGGTTTAAACCCAGTCTGACTTCAGAGAGACCAGGTGATGGTTTTGAACACGGTTTGGATCTAGAACTTGCAGTGAAATCTTCGTTCAGTTAAAAGACCCGTCTTCAGCGTTTGTTCTGACACTGAAGCCTTCGTGTCTCATAAGGATAGACACGCAAAGAAAATCTTTGTCCTAATGTCTGGATAAATTTTTCCCAGGGTGTGTGAAGCAATGCTACCACAAGAGCCCAGCTGCTTGCCAAACAAACAGAAACTTCTCTGTGTGGTTCTCTATTCCTGTAAACAAGTGGTATAATTGTGCAACTCTTGCTGGTTAACAGTATCAGTGACACCACTGCAGACAACTGCAGGCTGAGGAATCAATAATCTTGCTTATCAATCTGTTGTTTGCTTTCAGGATGCAGACCTGGCCCGCTTGCTAAGCTCGGGATCTTTTGGAAATTTGGAAAACCTCAGCCTGGCCTTTACCAATGTGACAAGTGCTTGTGCTGAGCACCTCATTAAACTGCCTTCACTCAAGCAGCTGAACCTGTGGTCAACTCAGGTAAGTGCTTTGTGGGCTGAAACTCAGAGCAGGAACCGATGCTGACTAATTCTGAAATTTCGCGTTACATCAGCACAAGAGGAGTGTGTGAAGAGACTTGCTTAGAATGAGTCTGTCCTCATGCTATTTTTACAGGGCCTTTCTATAATCTAGCTCATCTTGGAGGCTGATTTGTCTTTTTCCTTTTTTTTTTTTTTATTACACATTTTAAATTTTATTTTATTTTTAATTATAAAAGGGTTGCTGCTATCTTGGGTCTTGGGTTGAACATTCCAGTTAGGTTAATTTGATCCCGTGCACTTCGCAATACATGTGCTGCCGTTCATCTGAGAAGTGCTTATGCTTTCACCCATTTAGGGTGAAAAAGATGATGCTGTGCAGCTCATCTGGTCAAGCACAGAGCCTGTGCAGTGTAGGCAGTGAATTGCCCTGCATGCTGATCAACCAGAATTTCTTTAAAAGCAACAGCAACAAAAAGAAACTCAAATAATGAATAAATAGAAGGAAACTATAATGAGAATGTGGTTATTTTTTGTAAGCAAAAAGAGGCCAGGTTAACTGAATAAATTATTCAGCTGTTAATTGAAAGAGCTTTTAAATTTTTCTTCTGCATTTCCCTGCTGGTTTTGGTCTCTGAGGTTCTCCAGTGAATAAGTTTTCCCCATTTTCTGTTAGCACCTATTTGTAGTGCTCACTGAAAATAGGATTATTCTCAGTGCAACCACAAAAAGCAGCATTTTTTTCCACTCAAATGTCATGTAAATATCTCGTTTTGTTTTCCTAACTACTTTTGTATCCCAGAAATTTCCTCTTTTTGTGTGGGGAATATGAAGTAGAATCTGATTGCTTGCTTGTTTTAAGACTGTCTTGTATCTCCTCCAGATTTGTCGTAACAATGTAACATTTGGATTTGAAAACTTTGCTTCTTGCTCAAAATGAGTTTGATTGACCAAAGAGCCTGATTTTGTAATTTTTAATTTTTTTTTTTTTAATTTAAAAAAAAAAAAAAGAGTGGATTCCATTTTGTTTTGCGATACCCTGGTTTCCATTAATCTAGAATTTAGAAACAGCAGAAACAAAGTGGGTCAATAGAACAATTACCAATCAATAGTACATTGTTCTTGAGACCAAAATAGCTAATTAATACCACTTGCATTATGCGTTTTTTTTTGTGATGTGGTTGGGAACTGGCTGAGACTGCCATAACCATCTTGTATAGCCTGGGTGGGAGCTCTCTCATACAAAGTCCAGACTTCAAAGACACTGTTCTAATTAAATGATGGCCTGTGGTTAAGTGTGCACAAGTCACTTGATTTTTCTGTTCCCTGCCTGCGAAATAGGGATAAAACTATTTGCTTTCTCTCCTGTCATTTGAGATTGCGGTAAACACTCCGAGTGTGGCTTTGAGGGCTCCTTGTTTTACTGTGCCCTGTTTGCACTGAGGTACTTGCACAAGATGTTCATGTGTTGTTTCAAAACAACTTTGCTTGCGCCCCACAGTTCGGAGACGCAGGGTTGCGGCTTCTGTCTGAACACCTCACGATGCTGCAAGTGCTCAACCTGTGCGAGACTCCTGTCACGGATGCTGGGCTGCTGGCACTTAGTTGTAAGTGACCAAAAGAAGCTACGGAGGAAAATTCTGTGGGTTTGGAGGAACTCACGTGGGTTCAGACAGAAATTGATTTCTTGGCTGCCACAGCACTGCTTCTTCCGCAGGGGTTTAGGACGGGCCGTGGTTATGTTTGGGTTCAAACTCCCCTCCTCCCTGCCCACTCCAGTGGCCGTTCAGCTGCAGGCAGGGGCAGCAGGCCGGTGATCTGAGCCTCCTGTGGGCTTTGTTGTCCCAGGCTGTACTTCTGGCTCTTGCCTCTGACTTTACGGATGGCTCTTGTCTCGATCTCACGTGGTGACCTGTTGCCCTGGGACTTCCCAGCTTTTTTCATGCACCCTCCTGCGGGTGTCTCCTCTGGGTGGGAGTCTGACCTTGTGGTGCAGGAGGGGAAGGTTGCAAAGCCATGTAGCAACTTACTAGTGAGTTTAGCAACCGTGCGCAGCAGGTTTCCTACCCTCTCTGGCGTTTTTTGTTCCTTCTTTTTTTGGGGAGGTGAAACTCTTGCTGTTCTTAATTTAAATAGGGAAGGCAGAGTGGGGCCATCTGAGCAGCCTTCAGGATTCCCCTGTGCACTGCGAGCTGCTCGACGTGCCAGAATGAGACCCTTTCCTACCTCCAACAGTGAACTGTAAACCTCGGCTGTTGAGTTTAAGGGCTCCTTTAATAGGCTTGATCCTACACAGACGTGCCAGACAGCCCAGTAGTTATGGCTCATCTTAGGAAACTATTCTGCTAAGTACTGGAGCCTAAAATGGAAATGGGGGGGGGGAAAAAGAGAGGGAGGACTGCTAGATCAGCATGGCCCCTGCGTGCACCGTGCAGAGCACTGAGAACGGGCACTATTCAGAATAATGTGCAGGAAACTGATTATGAGAAGTTGCCTGAACTCCTTTGAAGTCAGCGGACTTAAGCATATGCTTAATGGCCCTTCCTAAATAGGGACTTTTTCCTGGATGAGGGCCCAAACAGCTGTTTATCCATTTGTACTTCTGTGTTTTACAGTATTCAGCTTTTTCCTGAGAGTGCTGCACATAGTCATGTCTTGTTTATACTTTGGCCTACTGTAAGCCTGATATTTTAAGAAAATGCAGCATAATCATAAATATCTCTGTGTTTTCTCTTGTAGCCATGAAGAGCCTGTGTAGTTTAAACATGAACAGCACCAAACTTTCAGCAGATACCTACGAAGATCTCAAGGTACTTCTGAATTGCATCCATTAAGATGGGAAGTAGCTGGCCCAGGAGGACTTGCAGATTTAGCAACTGCATGGTGGTAGTGCCTAGGGCAGAGAGAACTGGCCCTGTGGAGCAGGTAGCATGAGAGGCATCTGAAGAGGGTGAAGTGGGTTATTTTGGGGAGATAATGACTGCAAACAGCATTCTGAGGTAGCTGGCTTTGATGGACCTGGGAAACATTTAATGCGCTGAATGGATCAGTATGAGATGGAATCAGAAACTGAATCTTTTTGCCAGTGCTCTCAACAGTAAAGGTTTCATAAACAGGAGCGTATTGATTGGGTCCGATGAGGGGACAGAGATGGGTAAAATCTAGTGCACACCTCCAAAGCTGTGTCCTGTGCTGCTGACAGGACCAAAAGGAAGATGGGTGAACAGCACTGTGGAGCTTTGATTCAGAATGCAAAGGGAGACTTGAAAGCATTGAGGAAGGTGCAAGTTTATCTTGACGCCTTGTGGACTGGAACTGGGCTTTAAACAGAAATGCCTGTAAAAGTGCCCAGTTTCCCCAGTTTGACACGTGAGATGGCTGGTGTTACCATTTGTACTGCAAATTTACAGCCACTTCGGCAAAACAGCGTAAAGAACTAGAATGTAGCTGTGGGAGGGGAACGGCCCCAGGTGGTTTCAGGCAAAGGCGACCTGAGGTGCGTTGGCTTTCGCGACTTCACGTGGACTTTGTCTTCACTCTGGTGTTGCGTGAGTCGCGTCTCCCAAAGTCTTACCTTATAAACCCAAGTGCTCAAGGTGAAACCCGACATGACGTTGTCCTGTGGGTTGAAACCTTAGATCGTGCCAGGTTTACTCAAAAAGGTCACAACCTTGGGTTGAGTTTCGAACTTGAGGCAAGTCCCGAAACTGCTGCTTTCAAAATTCACTGCAAACATATATCTTTGGTTCTGGCTGTGGAGCCAGGGCTCCCCCAGGGACTCGGTTGCAATGCTGCTAGCATGGGTTTTTCAAGATCAAGTTTTCAAAACTTGTGTCACAATTGTATATGCAAAGAAGTCTTCCTTGGAATTAACAGCTGGCTTGCAGATGGGTTCACACAATGGAGCTTGTATCAGGCCCCAAGCATTTACAGACAATCAAGGTCAATGCTCTGTTTGGCCCGATTTGGAATCAAGTCTATTGAAAGGCTCCCCCAGTCCTACCCCTGCTTCCGAGCCCCTTTGCCGCTAACTTCGTACTGAAACTCCTGTTTTCCCAACCGGTCCCCTCTGCTCTGGTATTGCATTAACAGGCCTTAGCAGCAACGCAAGAAAGTGACTTGCCAGGGCAAACAGCAAAACTGGCTGTGAGCAAAGTCCCGATGATTGCAGAGAATTAAGAAAGCTGAGAAAACAGGCGTGCGTCACTTTTTCCCCTCTCACCTCTTTCATTGAGATTTATCTTAGTGGCCATTTTTTAGAGCACTGTGCCTGTTCAAAGGGAGGGTGGTAGTTTCTTTCCCTGGGGCACGTGGTTGTAGGTCTGTTGAGAACAGCTCAGGCTTCAAAGAACGTATTTTTGATACAAATCTTTCCTTCTTCTCCCCTTGGTCTGCGAGAGCATTTGGGGCACAAGCCAGTGATGACATTTCCTCTCGGCCCCATCCCCCACCCCACTAAACACGCTTGCACACACACAGACACCCACATATGTACCAGGCAGGCTGAACCAGACAATAAATAAACACCCACTACTGAAGTCATTATTGCCTAACTGAAGAATTATTTGCTGGCAGTGTCTGTAGGATTATGACTAGCTCTTATCAAAATATGCGTGCACATAAATCAAGGAGTGAGGTAATAATGACTCCTAGAAACTTCCAACTCCTCCATTATGCCCTAGCCTAATTAAACATGTTTATTTGTTTTGAGAGAATTAGCCGTACAATTATGGTCAGAGAGCATGGAAACGGGATCGACAAGTAGGAGCAGTGCAAACAGCCGATTCCCATCTACCTCGCGCAGGGTAATTCAGGCTCAGTACGTCCAAATGCAGCGGAGCTGCGGAAGGGAGACCACAAAGACACCAGAAGTTGCCGACACTCTCCGAGTTTTTTTAGTACTTGGAGGGGAAGATCAAGCAATGCCTTAGTGTGGAGGCTGGAGAAGGAACACGAGGCTGTCTGCTGCAGTTTGAGTCCAATGCCTTCATGGCTGGAGTTGGACAAACAGATTTTGCCAAGCATTTGTGTAAAACAGCAAAGGTCGGGTTCTGATCTGGACCGGGTCGCTGGTGCGTGGGTGTTGCCGGAGCCGCGTGGTTTTGCCGCAGGTGTGCCCGAGTCGTGTGTGTCTGTAGAGCCTCAGCATCTGGTTCCTGTGAGCTCTAGCGCCGTGCTGAGCCCAGCCCTGGTACTCTGAGGGTCGAGGTCATAGCATATCGCCCTGCAGTCTGTGGCCAGTAGATCAATGCGCCCAGTTCACTGACGGTACAGGTTTGACGGGAACTTTTTTCCTGTGTCCTGGGCAGGTGTCACTAATTCTGACCTTTTCCTTCCCTCCCGCACAGGCGAAACTGCCCAATCTGAAAGAAGTGGACGTCCGCTACACTGAAGCGTGGTGAACTCTTCCCTGCCTCTGACTCTTCTCTTTTGCTTCTCGTGAGAAGGAAAAGATTTTTAAAACAAACAGAGGAAAGCAAACCAGAAAATAACTTTTGACTAATACCTGTAGAGCAATGAGTCCTGGGACTTGGTGGTAGGAGTCGTGGTTGTGGGGTAAAGGAGTGGCGTTGTGTGTGTCGGGGGGGACAGGGCAAGCCTGGACCCGGCCGGATTCTTTCAGCGTTGTGATTTCAGAATCAACATAACTTAAATTGAAAAGGTTAAAAAAAAAAAAAAAAGGACTTTGTAGCAGCAAGAGGATTATAAAGAGGAAAAAAAAAACACCTTTGTGGATTTTATTTGCCTTTGTGTTTTATGCCATGTGGAGAAAAAAAAAAAATTTCATTTGTCATTATTTACCTGGGTTTCCTCGGCTGGCACCGTCCAGTCAGAACTCCTCTTTCACCAGTTTTGCTCTGGAAAATCAAACTTACAAAAATCTCAAGAGAAGAAAACCAAAACCAATATGATTTTCACCTCCCCCTGTGTCCTTGCAGTTGTTATGCAAAATAATTTTGTTGTACATAAGATTTACATAATGCACCTATTTAAGAAAATGGTTCACAAATAACAGGTCTGGGACCTGTCTTTTATTTATGAATTGTTAATTCTCTTACCCTTTTTTTGCGTATAGTACTGTATAAACTAGTTTGCTGTCTTGTTGTTATTTTTTTTTTAAAGGAAATGTCCTTGAAGAATTGCCTTTAGTAATGCATACTGTATTATATACTCCCTCTCTGTCACCACATTCATCGCGTTGTCTTTTTGATTTCAAAATGCCTCAAACGTTATCAAATAGGAAGGAAAATATCTACCAAGGGGGGGTGGG